TCGCTTTATAAAATATAAAAACAGCATTGCATAACAGATCACTTCTTTTGTGTTTTGAAGTTAGGTTTAAAATCTAGATATTCTGGAATAGCTGTTATTAAAATTATGGAAGAAAATGTGGGTTTATACTGATGAAGTAGGTAAAGCTGAAGAGATTTTTCACTTGTTTAATGACAATCTTTGAAACTGAATAATAATTTTTCTATTAGACTATTTATTATAGCCGATGAAATATCACGCTGTAACTGTTAGGAGCATAGCAGTCAGCATAATGACGGCCCGAGAGGGTTTCCACAAGCAAAATTTGTTTTTAGGTGTAACTGCACGGAAAGGCTGGAGTAAAAATAACATTTTTAAAAACGGTTTTTCTTAATGGGATAGCTTTGGTGAGTTCATCGATAGTGAGCGAACTGCTTAACTTAATAAAATACCATATCCTCTGTGAACTAAAAAGTCCAGTAGCGAATGCGAACGCGAACGATGTGTACGGAGACTGCTATTTAAGTTTAAACCTGTTGGTGCTTGGTATTCGGTACAACCGGTTAGCGGTTTTTTCTTATCAGTTGATGACCATTATGTTATTCTTAGTTAATATTTACTATAATGTATAAACTTCATTCAATATCTATACAAATAAAAAAAATTACAGTGTTTGTTTGTAATGTGAAATCATAATTCTCTTCATGCTCTCACGGTCATTTGAAACCAACCAGTTTAAATATTTTTTGTCTGTCTGTCTGTCTGTTCCCGGTAATCTTCTAAACGGCTGGACCGATTTTGATAATTTTACTACGAGGTAGCTGTTTATATAAGGAGTAACTTAGGCTATTTTCCCTTTTAGAAAAACCCTATAAAAATCCGGTTCTGGGAATCAAACCCGAGCCCTCATGGATTGCGGTCGCGTATCGCTAAGACAGCGTTTTTCAAATTCCACGCAAACGAAGTCGCGGGTACCAGCTAGTCTTTCATATACTCACGATCAAATTCCTAATAGGCATGATAGTAACGAACTGCGTGAGAAATAGTAATATTCTATTCTAAACATAAGATATAAGGCGGATTTCAGGCTGGCAGATTAGAACGGACACTTTAAGAATGGGTACGTATTAAAAGATGTGTTATTGAAACAGCTGTTCTCGATAAATTACCGTTTAATACTGCTCAAATAGATAATTGAGCCTCAAACTACAAACTACTGGAAGGTCCGAAGAACCACCAGTTCATACTTATGTTTAACAGTCCCACTAGATTAATACTAGCTTTTTTATGACTCGAGAAGCTTTAATGTGCTTTTCTATGTTCTGGCGTGTCTGCAGTATTTCATTACGATCGCTTTATTAGTTGAGCTGTAAACATGTAATAAACAAACAAATAAACTTACATTTGTAAATATTAATTAGGGTGTCGTAGCTTCAAGTGAGCGTCTTCATTGAGGTCACGGTACGAATAGTTAAGTGTAATACTTAAACTTAGGTCTAGACTTCATTTCATTTTAGAACCGAATTAAAAGCCATGTTAAGCTGGCTGATCGATATCCTTATACCTAATTTAAGAATGGGTTCCTTTTATTCCTTATCTATATATATGTAGGAATGAAATAATGTGAAGCTTTAGATTAATGATTCTATCAATATTATGTATGTACATGTATTAGTTTGAGACCACACGGCCGTATGTGAAATGTATAACTTGTTATTATTATTAGAAGATTGATTGCACGGTTAAAAGTTAACTCCAGTTACCTTTTAAATGTTTAATAGGGATAATTTAATAATGGTATAGTATAAACAATTCAGTGTAACGAAGGGGAAGAACATTCAAACGACCGATACGACCTTCAAACCTTTAAGAAAAGAGCGTACTCCTACCTAAAAGGCCGGCAACGCGTTTTTGACTCCTGATTTGCAGACGTTCATCAGGAGACCCGTCTACACGTCTGCCCCTTCTAACATAAAAAAAAAATTAGCAAAACAATCACACTAGGGTCAACGATCAGAGTTGGAAAGGCTGAAAGTTAGGTTGGTATTTCACAACTGCAATGAGCTGTGTGTGCAAGTGCATATGCGGAATAGGGTTGACTTGTCATCGGCTGACACATTGTTATGTAATTCACTAAAATGTTATTTTAGCTGTAAGTCTGCCAAGTTTGGTAAATAAATAAATAAATAAATAATTATGGGCCGGCCCGACCGAATTGATACCACCGGCTTCACAGAAAATTGTCGTGAAGAAACTGCTTTTCACCGAGTGAGTTAAGTTTTTGGACGTACAACTTTTTGCTACTTTTAAATAATATTCATTTGACGAAATGATTGATTTTAGTCACAGCGATTTCACATGTAATTGTGATTTCGTCACAGACAAAGATAAAGTGCCATTAAAATCAATCAAAATTCTGTTTTTCAAAGTTTACGACACTTTTCTTTTAGATTTAGTCCTAATAGTAATAATAATAAGTCACAGTGGTGCCTATAGGACTATAGGAGGCTATAATTAAATAATTACGACACAATATTCTGTCCGATTTGTTTACTGTCATTCGGTCGGATGACGTATGTGTGTATGTGCGGGCGACGTTGACATGTTTCGGCCTAATGAGTTTTCAAAATAAATGTAACAAATAGGTCATAACTAATATTTAAACAATACAAACCTTTTTCGATCAGACACGTGCATACTGTGTTTATCAAATTGAATTTTCAGACGATGATGATTCAAGCAAAAATTAATGGCATTGTGATAAGGTCCTTGCGGGAAATTGACTTTTGGTGACTTGGTCCAGTTTAAGATTAAGATCCAATCGGGAAAACTAAACAAAATATTTTAGTGGTTTTGGAAGTTATCATCAGGCATACCGATTTTCTATCCGGGCAAGTTCAAGGTAAGCTCAGTATCAGATTATAAGACGTGTTCGGAGATGTCAAATGTTAACAAGGTGTAATAGTTTTTTATAAACGTGACGTCATATTTTTTTTGCTGCTCTGTTGTAGAACTCTGAATATTATACTAGGATTGAACTTGAGTGATACAATACCGGTGTCAGGAATCTAATTTTACTACTTTTGTCAATGCGATACTTTGGATGGAGAGATGTATGTTAACGCCAGATCTGAATGACATATGGCATAGAGATAAATTATATGTACAGAGTAAATAGCACGTGCTCAATGCAGATAGCACAATGATCCCATGTGCTATTTACTCTGTACTGTACTTTTAATACTTTTTATACATATATTTCAGATGGATTTTAAAGCATAAAAATCAGGCCACCAAACTTTAGATGAACTACATAAAAGTTTTGATCAAATATCTACATAGTATTAGTAACAGTAAGTTACTAATACTATTTAGATATTTGATCAAAACTTTTATAAGTTTGAATATTTAGCATTCGAAAAAAATCTGTTTTGTGATTTTTGAATTCATTTTTTTTCTACTATTTTTCTCCCCCATTTTTTATTAATACTGATTTTACCATTAAGCTAAGTAATGATAGTTACTGCTCAACCACCCTCAACTAACAGCTTATTGATGTAAATACCAACTCCTCAGTCGATTAGCCAATAAATAATTCTACAACTGTACTATACATAGGTATATGTAGTACCTACATCTCATAGAGAAAATGTCGTCACACATATTGCGTTTCTCTAGAGGGAAATGATTTACTTTCCACTTAATAGAGGCTGCCAGAAAACAGATGTGTCGTACGTCGTAGAGTAACTGTTTGCTACTATGACATTTAAATGAAAAAAAGTGTTAAATTGTGGTTCATAAAGATCAAAATTGAATGACTACGTTGTGCTATTCAGCTGTTTTAACCGTAAATGCGACATTTACTAGCGTTATTTGTATTACACATAAATATTGCGTTATCTTTACGTAAGTTTAATAATACATGTATTTCTGATAAATTGACCAACCCATCTATAACAAATTTACACTATCAAGGTCGTATGTAAATATTCTAAAGAGGCATCCATTAATTACGTGTGCTCAAAGTGTGGATGTTCATTCGACAAAAATCATCAATTTTATTTTAATTCAGGGATTTAATAGTAGTGTTAATAAAGTACACTTTGTAATAGTTTCATTTTTAAGATCAATAAAAAGTTTGAATATTTTATTAAAAATTAGTTTTGTCCAACTTCGACTCGGAATAAATCTTAGTAATTGTACATGCCGTCATTTGTACATAGTTATCAACTGGAAATACTATTTTATGTATAATGTAATGAAGTACAACAAATATATTCTATTCTGCTAATGGGGGAACGAGAGGTCCAAATTAAAAGAAGAACTAATTAGTGGATGCTCCCTAATTGCTCCAGCATTAGATTTACAAATACAAATAACAAGTATTAAAATCATTATGGGAGCCACTATGAATATGTACGTCACTTTTAATGTAAAGTTTATAGGTAATGTGGGTAAATATGTTATCAGATAAGCAGCTTGGAATTCAAATTCTTAACGTAATTTTATTAGACTAAGTATATTTTTTGGCAAAATTACACACTAATAAAATTCAGTGGCTCTTAAACGAAACTGTTGAAGATAATAACGTATAGGCATGTCTTTAGTTAGTAAGAGTGTATTTCCCAAGAGGTTGAATGACATGTTTTGGTAAGGAAATAGGTATTATCAAAAACCCCGAACCACCCGCGTGTGGCACGACAGAATGAATCACACACAGACACATGCCTATCGCAGACCAGTTTCGTACAAATATTGTAATACAAGGTGAATTTGTGATTTCCACGGTAATCCACGAAGTCATGGTCAATAAGCGCTCTCATACGAAACGCAATGGTACTAACGCTGAAGAATCACTCATAATCATAAGTTACAGGCAGTTATCGACTCTGCGTGTAGGCAACACTGTTTATTTTTGCGAACTTACTTCTCGCTAACGCAGTCAAATGTTAAGAATAAATTAAATTTATTGCCTAGCTGAGCACTCACCGGCTTGTCATTATATAGTAAGGAACCCTCAGTCATTTTCCAAAATGTGATAAAACCGCCGTTTTTCGTGCGGCGGTGGCTGACATCTGCAACAAGAGGCCATCGAGGTCATATGATTGCTCACTCAGCAACAACACTATCGCACACACTTAGTAGCATCACTAAAGCTCACTTGTGTTGTCTTGTACGTAAACAAAGATGCATGAAGGCAGCTCAAGGTTCGCGGGCGGGAAGTTAAACTTGCAGCATTTCCTACAAGGAGGCACCGGTAAGGTTTGTTTATCACTGAATCAGTTGTGGCGCGCGGCGCGGGTGAATGGGAGGCACGGCGCGGTGCGGGACGCGTGGTGACGGAGATCGCTGAGTGCGTGACGTGAGCGCGCGCGCTCATATCCCACCGCGATTATTTGACGTGTAGCCAATAACGTTCCTATTCACGAAGTATTAACTGAAATATTTGTACGTTGTGATTACCATATATCTGTATATCACACAATGTTGGGAGAGAAAATTAATGAGAAAATTACATGCTTCGGTACGTGCATCAGCTAATTAGACTATACTATCTACTGAATAATTATAAACATAACGACAAGGTATTTTGACGTATCTATGTAGATTGGTAAAAGCCTAAAACCAATCATAATGAAGATGATTTTCTGACCCTATGTGATCAAGTGATTATAGTGAAAAGTGATAACAAGTAACTAATTCTTGCATATTTTGTTAATGTAGGTACTTATAGGTATTATAAAGAATGTGTTTTCAAAGTTAAAACTTCGGTATTACACATTCAACTCAAGTAGGTATCTGTTTTCAGTCCTATTTACAATAAATGTTTTGTTGTTCAAGAAGCTTGTAAATGTATAATTTTTTGAATTCCGTGCATTCAATCTGTGACTCGTACCTAAAGATAATGAAGTTAGACAATAATGATCAATCACGCAATACACAGAGCTGCGATATATCCCAAATGACGGCAGGCGCCGCTTATAATTAATCTGTTTATAGACTTGAAAGCAAATATTATAATACGAATAAGAGACTAACAAAATATCTAGAAAGAGAAGTGGCCATGATTCTACTAATTTGTAGTGTTAACGAAGTAATAAGTAAATAAGATACAGGAATATGGTTTTTAGTGTATTGTTGAAAATAATCAATCAATTCTGATCTGAAATACAATAATTTTGAACATAAATTGTTTGTCGTATCGTGTTGTAAGGACAATCAGGTATTAGGTGTCTATCACGATTGGTAAGAAAATCCAAATAGGTACCTATATTATTTGTTATTCAAATTTTTATTTAAAGTCAAGATTACTTAAGAGCAATATCAACATCTATATAAGGACGTAATTAGAGCTTTTGTATAAAAAATCGTATATTTAAGCTTATACATATTACATTTAAGCGTAATGTAACTAATTAATTTAAATAAAAGCTATCACCGTCTTTGATGTGGCTACGTAATCTGTAGCCACAGTTATTTGGTTCTCTCAGTAGTTCACGTGATACCATTTTCTGGTTATATGGTGGTAAAGTAGCCCAAAACCTCCTTTCTAAGGATTGGCTAATGTCCAGCAGTGGACTATTAAAGGCTGTCGATGAAAGGGGGCAGACGAGCAGACGGGTCACCTGATGGAAAGTGACCATCGCCGCCCATGAACGTCTGCAACTCAGGAACGCGTTGCCGGCCTTTTAGGAAGGAGTGCTCTCTTTTCTTGAAAGTTTGAAGGTCGTATCGGTCCGGAAATACCGCAGATGAACCCGGTTCACAGATTGGTTGTGCGGGGTAAGAAGGGTCTCGAAGAGCGCACAGTAGTGGAGCGCCAACTATCCAGGTGATTAGGATGAATAAAGTTGATGATCTCTCTGTAACTGGTATTCCGAAAAAAATCAGAGTGCGCTGCTCATGGAACATAGTGGGCATGATTATTTATTTTCTTAATATGAGCCTGTTGTGACTACAGGACATATTTGACGAATTATCGTAAGTCTGCCCTCTCGCATTTCTTATATCACTGCTTAATTGATTTAAAATTGTAGCGGCAATTTTTTTCCCTTTGTGACCACTAGAGAAATACTTCATACTTGCTACCTGCTACCTCTCCATTTGGCGTCAAATATATCAGCACTACAGTCAACTAATCAGTATAAGACATGTCAGGTGCAGTATTGTAACTGTGTTTAATACTACACGTATGGATTAAACACAGTATAAACATTTATGCAAATTTCTATATATTCTTACAAATAACACAAAAATATAGTATAGCAGTTCATATCAAACATTAAATGTTCATGCACACAAATGTTTGACTTGAGCGGGAATCGAACCCGCGATCTTTGGAATAGTAGTCCGTTACACAAACCACTACGCCATCCTGTCGTCAATAATAATGAAACAACGTGAAACTCTTAATCGACTTTCTACTTACTAAGGATTGTTAAAGTAGTCTATAATCAAATTAACGCAAAAAATAATCACAAATAATGTGGTTCGTTAGAGACTTAGTATGTGCCCGCAATTATCTGCAACCAGGGCCTCAATTCTGCTATTTTATGTTTACGCCAAGCCAGTGTCATACCACTGACACGCTATTGAGATGCCATCGAGTAGCCATTGGCATCGGTATAAATATCGGTAGTTGAAAATATATTACGTTTTTTGAGGAAATGATTTATTTGTTTTTATCATAATAAATTATTAAAAGAAATAAATAAATTAAAATATCTTATTAAAAAATTAAATTAAAAAAAAGAAATAAATAAATTAAAATAAATTATTAAAGAATAAAATATAAAAATTATAAAAGAACTAAATAAATTATTAAAATAAAAAAATAAAAATAAAAATCATTTCCTCAAAAAACGTAATATATTTTCAAATTATAAGGAAATGACATTTATTTAAATAATTTTTTTATTTTTATTTTTATTTTAATAAATTATTTATCTTTTTTTATAATTTTATATTTTTAATAATTTATTTAATTTATTTATTTATTTTAAAAATTTATTTATTTCTTTTTTTATAATTTTTATATTTTATTCTTTAATAATTTATTTAAATTTATTTATTTCTTTTTTTATAATTTTTATATTTCATTCTTTAATAAATTTTTTTTTAATAAGTTATCTTAATTTATTTATTTCTTTTAATAATTTATTATAATAAAAACAAATAAATCATTTCCTCAAAAAACGTAATATATTTTCAACTACCGATATTTATACCGATGCCAATGGCCACTCGATGGCATCTCAATAGCGTGTCAGTGGTATGACACTGGCTTGGCGTAATAGCAGAATTGAGGCCCAGTACTAGACCGTGGTCAAGCAAGTTTGAAAAGCGGTTAACAACAAAATTGTTTAGGTATAGATTCATCTTACTTGTGAGAGTGACACTGGGTTTAGGAAAAATGTGAAAATTGAAAATTGCCGGTTAGTAAATTTCAAGTGCATTTTCACGTAGTCAGTATTTTTGAAATAATTACCTTGTTTGCATTATTCACTATGTCAGTGTTAAAAATTGCAGATAAAATTTTACACATGTGCACATTGCAAGCCTGTGGAAGTTTGTCAGTTTATGTATGTATGTACAAAAGAACGTACGTAGTACGTAGAAGAAAGTACAGTATGATGGGCAAAAGAATTTTAAGTGAGTTGATTACGGACAGGGTTATGTCAAAAACTGTGAAAGTGGCATAAGCAATGGGAATTATAGTGGCATCGAGAAGGACGATGACAAGAACCCAAGAGGACGCTGAATTGGAATCTAATACACGACAATTAAGGTTGTTTATTCTAGACTAAACTTTTCTGGTGAATCGGCATGGAATTCAATCGGAATGAAATTTATTATACATTAAAATGAATCAAATTTTATGATTTCAAAAAATAAAAAGACGCCTATCTATTAAGTATCAAGCCTTGCTACTGGTAAGCGTATGACAATGTAACTTACAATTAATATTTACTTTTCAAGTTTAGTTGATTTAATTTCAGAGAATTGCAGCAGTGATAAGAAATACTAAAGAAATCACTTAAGATAGTAATCATTTTATAAAAGAGCTGCAAAATTCATTTTTATGATAACATTTAATCATTATACTGTCTAAGACAGGGATTCCTAAACTGTTTTCGGCAAGAAACCCCTGTTCCAAAATTAACTGATACCTTGGACCCCATAGCCAAATTAATTTTGAAAATCCTATCTTACTTGCCATTTTAAAAACTGCGGTTGGTTAAGTAAGTGAGTAAACTTGACATATTTTTTTTAAAATTTAAAATTAATTTTAAACTCTTCTTGCATTATCACATTTACTTCTTCCATTGCTGTGATATTGTGCGGATTTATTATCCATTGTGGAACTTGTAAATTTAAGAGATCCTCATTATAATCATAAATCATAAAATCCTACTAAAACATTGCTCATTCTTTTAACAAGTTGATACACTTAACACAACTTAGACATCATCTTGAAAGTTATTAAGAGCGTGTGTTTATTTATAGGGGTCGATTTTCAGACTTCGCCGACCCAGTAAATCAGTTTTTGTTAATGTCGACCCCTGAAAAACCGATTTCAATATATCGACCACTTTGGGAATCCCTGGCAAAGATATTTACAAGTAAAAGTTGGTTAATTTGTCTTTTATTATTGTTTTAGTTAGTTGGATTATTGTTGTAGTAGTAGTGAGTATTTAGTGATACTGACTTATAGCCAACGGTCGTGAGTTCGCTTCCCACCCGGAACAAATAATTGTGTTATGAACATGATCATTTGTTTTGGTTTATGAAATAATTTATCTGTAATATTTCTATAAAATGTGTGGAGGGGTGTAAGTGATGATGAGTAAAAGTCATTAGGGCGAAAATATAGTGTTTATTACTCTCTTGTAGTGATGATGGTGATAAAGAATTGCATATTTCAAATAATGAAATTATTTGTCGTTTAGGAATATATTTAGACTGAGTGTGCTGTAAATTAATGTATGGCAGTTGATATATGTATAGACCTATTTCTTAGTGTTCCATGGATTCACTGTGCGTGTGCCGGGTCCATCGCGTGACAGATGGGGGCAACACATGCGACTTCGACAGCGCCTGGAAATTGGGACCCAGGAATAGGTTTAAGGAGTACTCCTTGCGACACGAAATGTAAAGAGCAGCCAACGTTAAAACTTGGATGGACTTTGTATAATAAGATATGGTTAGAAAGGGAGATGGCAGTAGAATGATAAGTGATAGAGGAAAATGGAAGAAGAAAACCAATTAAATTTTGAAAAAGGGCAAGAAGATAGTGATACGCTGTAAATAAATATAAAATTTAGTACTAAAAATATTTAAGCGAGTAAGTAAATTTATTTTAACAGAATACGTACTACA